ACAGAGGGGGCCATGGCCCTTCTAAGTTTTAAAAATTTAATTCATAATATGTAAATATGTGTGTAAAATAAAATTGCCCCCCTAAATTTTTACGATTTTAGTTTATATTATGAGAGTTGAGATATATATATATATATATATATATATATATATATATATATATATATATATATATATATATATATATATGAATTAGTCATCTTTGAATTAATTTTTTTCTTCAGAAAAAGTTATTTATTTTTTATTGTACTAATTATTTAACTTTCAAAAATTAAACATATAATTTGATGTTCCATAGTAAATTGACCCAATGTGATGTATTAGAATAAAAAGACCCAATTCATAATTGTTAAAAGCAAGAACTAGTGCGTCTAAGAATAGAACTTCAATATTTTGAGTTCGACATTCCAAATCATCTTGAATTGTAAGAATTATCTGGTATTCATGAGTTATATCAAGACTTGGTGAAGACAAGAAAATCAGTGATATATCCTCTTATTGACAGATTTATTAGACTTGTTATTACTCTTCCTATATCAACTGCAACTACAGAGCGCGGCATTTTCAATTATGAAAATAATCAGACAAATCTCCGAAATAAGATGCAAAATAATTTCTTGAATGATTGTCTAACTGTGTATATAAAAAAAGAAGTTACTGAAAAATTTAGCAATGATTCAATCATAGATGAATTTAGTTCTATATGAAGAGCGTAGAGCTCAATTTACTTCTAAGAAAAGATGTTGAAATTTCAAATTATGTTAACATAACTTTATCTTTTTTCAATTGAAAATAGTTACATTTATATTACATGGTTATATATATATATACTGCATAGGTGACATATTGGAGAGCATCTTCTCATAATATGCAAATTGGATGGTTTGTGATGTTATAAGATATTTAATCAAAAGTTATCTTTTTGTTAATTTTTGTCATAACTATACCGCATATTTATGAATAAACATACCTTTATAATTAAATTTAATATTTGATATTTTTAGATGTTATATATTTAAATAGAAGAAAATTATTTTGAACATAATATATTAACATAATTTTATTAGAAAAAAATTTTGGTCTCCCAAAAAAAAATCCTGGCCCCGTCACTGGTTATAACCCTACCAAGTTTTGCTCACCCCTGTCGACTGGGTCCACAAATGTAAACTTCATAGTAACTAGAAATAGAAATTTTATTTAGTTCAATAGTGACTAAAATGGAAATTTTGCACAGTGCACGGCTTCCAGCATGCATATTTGCATCCAAGTAAGCTTTAAACACTAAAAAGCCAATTAGTATTCACTATAGGGAACAGGCATAACTCTGGAAGCAACCATACTCTCCTATTATATTTGTAAATGTAAATTACTTAGTCATTTTTCTTAGGCATGACTTCTTCCTTTCTTTTCCAAAAAATTGAAAAAAAAATATTTCAGTTCCTTATAATCCCCATAATTCTTAATTTTGAACAGATTCTCAAAATGCAACAAAATAATATAAGATTAACTTTGGCTCTCATTTCTCACTTCTCAACTACTAAAGCTATTTGAATTTTTTGGATTGCAGTTTTCAAAAATTTTTTTTTCATTTTTCGTGAACATATTTTTTAATTATTTTTATCTAATATATCAAATTATCACAAAACATTTTTCTATAAAAATTTTAAAAAATTAGCAATCAAAAGGGTTCTTTATTTCACCACCGGCTGCGCATCACCTCATGACTCATGAGTCTGACCATCGACAAAGATACAGCGTAATAGACAAAATGGCCTTTGTCCTACGTTATTCACGGTGCCGTCTTTTTCTTCATTAATTCACTTTTTGCCACGTTTGGTATCGTGATTAAAAATATTTCACAGATGCAGCTTTCAACAAAAACACTTATTACATGTTTAAATATTTTTAAATATATTATTTAGATCGGAGAGAAATGTACCGGTGATTTGGAGGAAGGAGCATAAATAAGAGGTCTCAAGTTTGAGCATTCCCTCTAACACTATATATATATATATATATATATATATATATATATATATATATATATATTATAGCATATTCATTAGATACATACTTCAATAAGTACTTATTGTATTAAATAATGTATAATTTAAAAATTTTTAAATATATATATTTTTATTTAGTTCATAAAATAAGATAAAATAATTAAATTTAACATTTTATTTTTTAAAACACAAAAGCTATTCTAAAAACACCAAATTTAAACTTTTGTTAAAAGTATTTTAATACCAAAAACTCTACTCCTAATTTATAGAATAATATTCACCAAACGTGTCAGAAGTACTTTTTATACCGCAACCCCAAATTAGCTTTAGGTCTTAACAGCAGCTCGCCTGCTTAGGTTGTTATCCCACATCGAAGGTTTGGGGGGGGGCTTTGGGTAGTTTATAAGTCTCCTCAGGAACCACAAGAGTTGCCGGCTTTTGTGGTTTCCTGTGAAATTAGGTTTGTAAATGTCAAAAAGTCAATTCTGGTTTTGGAAAAAAAAACAACAGCCTGTACCGGGTTGAGTGAGGTCTCTTTAGGTCTTAACAGCAGCTCGCCTGCTTAGGTTGTTATCCCACATCGAAGGTTTGGGAGGGGCTTTGGTAGTTTATAAGTCTCCTCAAGAACCACAAGAGTTGCCGGCTTTTATGGTTTCCTGTGGAATTAGGGTCCTGTTTGGAAGGTGAGTTTTTTGGGTGTTTGTATAAAACTTTACTGTAGATCACTGTAGAAGTTGTAGAAAAACTTTTGTAAGATAAAAATTTTTTTCCTTTTCATTTTCTTTCCTTCTTTTTCTTTTTTCTTTTTCTTTTTTTTTCTCTCTTTCTTTTTTCTTTCCTTCTTCCCTTCCCGTTTCTTCTCCTTTCCCTTTCGCTCCGCTGTTCCCTCTCTCGAGTTCTCCATGGCAGCAACTTTCCTTCTGCCTTTTTTTTTTTTTTTTTTTTTTTTTTGCTTTTTTTTCTCTTCCATGGCAGCCACCTTCCTTCCCCACCATCCCTCTTCTCCTTCTCCCTCTCCCTCTCCCCTTCCTTTCCTTCCCCGCCGCCCCTCCCCTTCCCCTCCTCCCCCTTCCCCGCCACCCTCCCTCTCCCCCTTCGCGACGCGTTCTGGTCGCACCTCTCCCCATCCCCTTCCTTCCCCCGCCGCCTCTCCCCTTCCCCTCTCCTCCCTTCCCCGCCACCCTCCCTCTCCCTCCTGGTCTGGCCCCTCTCCTTCCCTTCTCCCCTTCCCCCGCATCCCCTCCCCTTCCCCTTCCTTCCCGCCGGCCCTTCCCTTCCCCTCTCCGCCCCTTCCCCGCCACCCTTCCTTTCCCGCTGGTCTGGCCCCTTCTTTTCCCCTCTCCCCTTCCCCCGCCGCCCCTTCCCTTCCCCTCTCCTCCTTTGCGATCTGGTCGCGCGACCAGATCAGTCAAAGGGGGAGGGGATGGAAGGGGAGGGTGGCAGGGAGGCAGACGCTAAGAGGAGAGGGGAGGGAGAAAAAAAAGGAAAAAATTTTCAGAAAGGCACCATAGATTGGTCAAAGAGGGAGGGGAGAGGTGGAGAGGGGTTGAGATAGAGAGAAAAAAAAAGTTGAAGGCCGGAACTAGCGGCCGGAATAATGACCGGCGGCGAAAGTGGTGGTGGAGGTGATGGCCGGCGGCGGAGGATGTGGTGGGTTGGGTGGGGGAGGAAAAAGAAGAAAAAAAAAGTTGAAAGGAAAGTTTTTTGTGTATTTTTTAAGTGTGTAGGTTAAAAATTTTGATAAGTTTTTTGGGGTTTCTGTAGCAAAAGTTGTTAAAAAACTAGTATTATACAAACTTGGTAAAAACTTGAGGTGCCAAACAGGCCCTAGGTTTGTAAAATGTCAAAAAGTCAATTCTGGCTTTGGAAAAAAAAAAACCCAAATTAGACCTTAATTGCTTGGCACTATTCCCTTGATGGTTTGACTCGTAATTTACCACATAATGAAGCCCATCGATTAAGCTTTTTCCAAATGCAGCCCCATTCTCTTACATACATGCAGCGCCACACGTGTCAAGTTCCCCCAATAAACACAACTCTGCAAAGTAGCTGTCACGAAACCAAAAACCCAAATCTTTAAACGTAATTCACTCCTCGATTTCTTTTTTTTTTTTTTTGCCTATTATGTTGCTACTTGCGACCAAATAAAATAAATTCAATGGAAGATTATTTGAAATAATATTTAAAATATTTATTTAAAATTTTTTGTGATATAATATATGTAAAATAAAAATTAATTAGAAAACATGTTTGTAATACAAGTAAAATATTATTTAGAAAAATTGTGTGATATCCAAACACGCTCTATTATAATTTTTCGAGATTAATTTTTATATATTGTCAGTGTAAAAATTTTATACACAAGCAAATTTAGATGAATACCACATCATAAGTGTTCAAATTTTAAATTCACTTTTTAACTATGTATCATGTATCTAACAAATTTAAACATTCATCACTATTTAAATTTTAAATTCACTTTTTGTTATATGTATCATACATTTATATATCTGCTTCGTTGATAGTGTATATAATATTAGTTTTCATTTTTAAATCTGATAACTGAGGAGAGAGAAAGAGAGTGTGATAGATTCCCAGCATGAACAAATGTGTAGGCAGTCCAAAGCACAGCCAATTGGTAGTTGCATGGCTGATACTTGTAGCCAAGTGTTCAAAGTGCTAATTAACTCCAGTTTAGCTAACCAAACCTTGACATTAAATTCATGGTTTCTCCTTAACTAACCCCTTTTCAGTCTACAGGGTTTAAGCTATAAAACAGTAAAACACCATCTCATCAACTTTTGTACCATTAGCTAGTTTTGGTAGTAGTATTTCATTTCTCTTCAATGTCTCAGCTATTTTCCACTTCCTTCTTTCCCAGTCCTATAAAAACAACCCTCTGATCCTAAACATTTGTACTATTTCCAGGCGGATGCACTAAAGTAATACTATCATTTTCTCATCAAATATATGTCTAATGGCTCCCTACTGTCCCCATGGTCTCTTCTCAATTTGGTAAACCACTTTCGGTTGCCAGAAAATAAGCCTGTTTTTTCCCCCTTTTGATTCCAGTATTCTTCACCAAACCAACCCACCCTTCCATTCATCTCTCTTTCTTCGCTCTGTTCTGTCTCCCTTTCACAATTCCCTGTCTTTGAGACACAACAGACAAAGCCCTTCAAGAAAAACACACATTGAATAGGAAAAAGCCTCTAATCATTTTCATTTTCCACCATCAAGAAAAAGGGAGGAAAAAAAAAAAGAAAAGTAAAGAAGAAATGAAGAGGCCTCATTCTTCATGCTCACCTTCCTCTTCATGCATTGAGCTCAAAAAATCTAGGACTACCAAACATGCTTCTTCCTCCTCCAGAGCCAAGAGGGACAAGAAGAAATCCCAGATCAGTGCTGATGCTTCTTCCTCCCCCATTGCTGCAAGAAGAAGCTCCATTTACAGAGGAGTCACCAGGCAAGCATTTAATGAACTTTTACTTTTTCTCTTTTTATTTTTCTTATATACGGTTTCGGTTTCACACACACACACACACAATACACACTAACCAACAAACAAAACACACAAGGAAGCAAGCAGACAAACAAAGCATGAAACAAAACATGAATGGCATTGTACTCTGACGGTTTTTTTATTTTATTTTTTTTCTTTTTCATTTTCTTTCTCGATTGCATGCATGAAATTTGTGACTGATTCTCGGAAAAAAAAAAAACCATGGAATTTGTTCTGATGATCAGGCACAGATGGACCGGCCGGTTCGAAGCCCATCTCTGGGACAAAACTACTTGGAATGCCATTCAAACCAAGAAAGGACGACAAAGTAAAATTTTATTTTTAAATTTTTCATTTTTTTCTTTTTGGGTTTTAATTTTTTTTAATGACTTTTCTGTTTTCAGATTAAAAAATTCATCTGAAAACAGGGAGATCTGCAAATCTTAGTCCTCTTCTGTTTAAAAATATGATTAATTAAGTTTAAGTCTGGATTTGTCTTTTGCTAACTCTGTTTTATTCTTTGTTTGGTGATCAAATATCTGTCATTTTCAACGTTCACAATCGCTTTTGTCGCTGCTTAGTTTATTTGGGTAAGCCCAAGCCCAATATTTTTATTCCTTTTAATAAGTCTTTAGGTTAAAATTAAGTAGAATTATGATTTTATTATAATTTAATATTCTAATGACTGAATAATTAGTAGAGTTATGATATTTGCGTTTTTGTATTTATTGATGAAATGCAGGGGCTTATGATAATGAGGAGGCTGCTGCCCGTACTTATGATCTTGCGGCCCTCAAGTACTGGGGACCTGGAACCATACTGAATTTTCCGGTATTTAATATTCGTCCTTTCGAAAACTCAGGTGCCAAAAAAATTTGTACCCCACGCAGAAAAAATTGTACAATCTGCGCGTGCCCACATTACCATTTAAAATGAATTATCGTTGATTAATGTATAATTTTTTATATATATAATCTATGGTTGTAATTTTAATTTTTGAGGAAATTTATTTATGCAGCTTGAAAATTATTCGGAAGAGCTTGAAGAAATGGGAAATTAACTAAGGAGGAATATTTAACCACACTAAGGAGGAGGAGCAGTGGATTTTCTAGAGGTGTTTCCAAGTACCGCGGAGTTGCTAGTATAATAAATAATTGATGTCATAAATTATTTTTATCTTTAATTTTGACTTGTCTTTCTTTATTTTTCTATCTTTTTTTTTTTTTTTGGCATGCCAAATAGATTTTCTTTTCGGAGAAATGAGTTAATAACCAGAATTATTTTTCCAGTGGCCGGAAAGCCTCTCAGGGTCTTCTCCACTGCTAGGTTTAGGTTCCAGGTCTACGCTCGAGGGTGGAAAGGGTACAGGGAGAAGCGAGAGGATGAATAGGAGGGTGCAAAAAAAAAAAACCAAAATTATTTTGATGTTGTATATTCTTTTCACTTTTTGCGGCAGTCATTTTTTTTAACTCACATTTTCGGCAGTCATTTTTAACGTATTCAAGTTGGGGTGAAAGCACCAAAATTGTGCGGACCGTCAAAGATAACGTGGCACCGCACATTTCAGACCACTATTTTCATGGAGTTCTTGTTTGTTCGGTGCACGATTCTTTTTCTTTGTTTTTTCTGACAGACTCGTTCGGTGAGCGATTTGCGTACGGAAGTCGTCAGCAAAAGATTTAATTTGTTTTTTTTTTTTTTTTTATGAACGAAAAATTTTGATTACGTTAAAGTTGTTCTTACAGGCATCATCATAACGGTCGATGGGAGGCGCGAATTGGACGTGTCTTTGGGAACAAATATCTGTACTTGGGAACTTACGGTAATTAAAAGTTTTCTCATTAAAAAGAATTCCTTGACCTATTCATACAAATATAATAATTTCATATTCTTGTATTTTATATCGTTAAATCTTTAACCTTAGTTTTGGTTGTTTGCTCGTATCATTAATAGTAATTGTTGGAAACCAATTGCATGGTTAATTGGTTTGTTCGAGAATATAAAGAAGTATTTTGCTCAGAGAACTTTAAAATTGTGTGTTAGGCTTTAGTCTAGCGGAAAGGGTAGGATTTAGATTACTCGCGCCGTTTAGTTGAGATAGTGATCATGCTAACTTGCTCTGATACAAGCAAAGGAAATGAGCGAAACTAGGCCGCGAGAACGCACATTCATGCTACTGGTACAGTGTTGGACTCTCTTGATTTGTCGTTGACCGCAAAGCAATGAGCTTAAGCAGAAGTCAAACTTTCAACTTGGGATGGGAATCTAAGAGGCTGCTCCGCGGCCGTTGAGAGACAAAAAGTTAGTGGTTTACTCTCCATCCATCACAACAATTTCTATGTTGTCAATTAGAAATCAGAGATTTATATAGTGTTGATAGTTATTGGTTGCTTAGTTTAACTTGTGATTTGGTCGATTGAGGTGACGCACAATGCAAGTAGTTTACTCTTTCAAATCGTGACATAGGAAAAGAAAAGTGTAATGAATCCAACCTATAAATCTAACAGCAAGCCTTTTATTTTAAAAAATGAAGCCTAGTCAATAATCAGACTACGAGATCTGCGCTTATTTTGTTCAGAAGAAAGATTTGTTGCTTTTTCACGTGGAAACAAGTCAAAATTAATGTACACATTTGGTCAGTCATGTACAACATTTTTTTTAGTCCTAAAGCTGACGTTACACGTGCTAATTTGATTTGATTTTTTAATCCATCCTTTTGTCTTTGTGGCCTGTGAGTATCCGCACACTTCGGAGTTGAGTATCCGCACACTTGAGTTTCAGTTCAACGCTTTTAAATTTATAAAACTGAAATATTCCCTTTTGGAGTGGGCATCTGTGTCCTCTTCCATTTTTTTTAAGCTAAATTACAGCTGCCAATCTGGACTGATAACTTAACAAAGGCATTAGTTTCCCAAGAAGGCTAAGCAATTTTTGAATCTGCCTATAAGTCTGACTCGTCCCATTATGGTTTGTTATGTGTTTGTCAGTAGAAATGTTAATGGCCTCTAAGGTAAGTGTCTTAAATTATTCGAAGGGATTGCACGTACAAATTGCACTTGCAGGCATTATGGAAGTTATTATTTCCAGTTCAGATGATGAAGGTGCTAATGGAGAATTTTTTTTTTTTTTTTTTAATTTATGCAAAGAAGGGATTGGATTTAAGGAGAGGGGGCAAAGGAAGAATTATGCAAGTGCTCTTATAGAAGAAAAGTACGAGTTCGATCTACCTACTTGAACATTATATGAAGGAGAATTAACTAAATCGTAGCAAACCATTAGAAACTACATTATAGTCTACTGAAAAATAGCCACTTGATTAGTAAGCTAAATCCATTTCGACAAGCTTGACAGGGAAGTTTAGTTTGAAGGAATTCACGGAATTATGTTTTGAGGTCTAAAATTAAGTCCGACTATCATATCTTGCTGGAAACTAGGATTTTCTTGCTCATTATTACAATAATGTTATGTAGTTGCACAGAAACTAAGAAATGATTCTGAGCACATGATAGTTTACAAAATTGCACCTGCCACACAAGTGCAATGACCGTGATTTTGTGGTGGCTGTAGGTAAGCCACCAGCTGTTGCAGGAGTTAAGTACCAATTGCAGGGAAATGCCAACAATATTGTGACTTGGCCGTTTAATAACCGATTAGAAGGTTGTAGTATTTCAGATACATTTATTGTCTTTTAAAACCTTTTCTTTGAACCTAGCCAAAAATTCGTCTAAAAAACGTTATGCTTTGTTTTAGGCATAGTGTTATTGCATCTATTGGGAATAACCTAACCATTTGATACAGCTTCCATCCTTTCTTCCCCATTGCCTATAAGACTGTCCTCTTTGTCCTGCGCAAAGTGCCAAAGACGCTTAAGGCCAGGAAATACCGGTCCAAAAGAATTGCTCATCTTTTTTTTTTTTTTTTTTCCTGTTTCTTGTTTGTTAATAAATTGGAGAACATGGGACAGCAAGCAGGCACTTTAAGGAAGTTTTTGTTAGCCAGGTTTGTAGCGCCTGCTTTTCTAATTATTGATAATACATCCTTGTCTGCGCACATGTAAAATAGTCATTTTGCCTTAAACACCTTTTCTTCACTTATTTCATGGAATGTGAGATAGAAATGAGATGCTTCTATTTTAGTGAAGCTTGATTAGACTATTGCTTCTATTTTAGGGAAGTTTGATTATACTATTTCTTAAACACCTTTTTCTTCACTTATTTCATGGAATGTGAGAAAGATTCAGACGCTAAGTATAAGGCAAGCTGTGAATCTGTCAACATCTATCGTTCTGTTGAAGTGGGAGTTTTTTTTTTTTTTGGGGGGGGGGGGTGCGGTTCTGTAAGTGAGGTTGACAAGAGTTAGAGGAATAGTCGGACCTGGCTGCAAGGACTTACTTTGTGCACAATAAGCCCATAATTTTTTGTTTTCCAAATAAAATTTAGTGCATTCTGTAATCACTTTGAACTGATCAAATTTAGGGTGTCAATCCACAATAGTATCATGTGTTATGGCTAGCTAAGACTCATCCTTCATTCAGTGTTAATTAACTCTACAGGCCTATTTTGAACTGAAATGGTTCATATAATATGACATGCCATACACAATTGAAATTGCAAAGTGTCATCAGATGTTACAGTTCTAGAAGAATGACAAATCAATACACAGAGGTGTTTTAGAGGGCTCAAAATTTTTTTTTTTGAAAGATTTTTTTTCCCTTTTTGGTAGGGGAGGTGGGTTGTGGAGGAGGGAGAACCTAATTCTTTGGATTGTCTGTCTAAACATTTTTGTAAGGAAATATTGGCATATAAAAAACTTGTCTGCAAATGCTCCCTCTCCCATGTTTATCTACACCTTGTTACAATACTCAATTGAAGTGCATATCTTTTGATCTGTACAATGTCCTTTATCTGCTTCAATTGTTCAATAAAAGGCTTTGGGTCTGAACCATGAAGTCTCAGTTTAGCTTCACATGTCCTATGATGCATGTTTAGTCGATTACTGAGATTTAAACTTGTTCAAATGGAGACAGTCATAAACTGTACTACCAAATCTTTTGGGGATCATCTCAGTTTTTGCTAAATTGAAATGTCACAGGCTCTTGAGAAGAAAGATGCAATTTGAAATATAAAATAAATTTTGCCTGGTCAGATGTCAAGAATTTCATAGATAGGATCATCTTCTTTTTCTAACTATCTTTGGCTTATTTAGGATCTACATTGTTTTTTAGCAAAATTTTCTATACATCCTTTAACTCGTTTTAACTGTATTTTAAGGCACTCAAGAGGAAGCAGCTATGGCATATGACTTGGCAGCCTTAGAGTACAGAGGCTCTAGTGGCAGTAACCAACTTTGATATAAGTAGATATGCTGACAAGCTGAAGACACTCCAGAAAATGCATACAGAAAATCCTGAATCCTCCACTGAAAAACAAGTGGATGAACAGGAAGACCATGAAGAACAAGTACAAGAGGAAAACTTGTGGCTGAGCTAAACGTTCCAAATATAGCTACTACTAAGTCTGAGTCACAAGACAACCTTGGACAACATTTGCAACAGAAAAAACCTGTGGCTGAACTGAACAGTTTCAAACGTAGCTGCTACTGAGCCAGAACAAATTGTCATGATGGACCCTGCTGATGAGCATGAGGATCATTGGAACCTATGCTTGGATACTGCACTCAATTCACTTCCAGTTTCGGACATAACCTTCGAGAAAACTGCAGAATTACCAAACTTGTTCACTGATGCAGGGTTTGAGGCTAGCATTGACTTTATTTTTGATGCTCCATTTGATATAGATGAGTTTATTGAGGAAGATGCAGCAGGCAGCCCAGCATTTGAAATTGACGTCGATTCATTCCTAAGGGGGAGGAGAAAGAGCCAGAAGCAACCACTTCTCCTTCTCAATCATCATCATCAACAATCACATCTGTTGGTAGCAACATCTAAGCTGCTTCTTTGGTTTGGCAACTTAAAAAATCTGGAATCATTCTCAACCTGCAGCTTTGGTTTTGTCTTAGAAATTGGCGTTGGCTGATAGGTATATGTAACATATTCTTAAA